TCAGCTCACTAATGCCTAAGATATTGATGTTTATGTGTTCCATTTCATTTTTGACAACTTCCAATTTTTCCAGATTCATACTTCGTACATTCCATGTTCCTATTTTCAATGGATGTTTACAGCTGTTTCTCTTCATTTTGAGTTGTGCCCCATCATCAAATGATGGTCTCGTGGGCTTTACTCCATTCACTTTATCACGGTCAACTCTACTTTGGGGAGGCAGCTCTTCCCCAGTCACATTTTGAGTGCCTTCCAACTTGAGGGCCTCATTTTCTGGCACTCTATCTGACAGTGTTTCTCTGCTGTTCATAAGGTTTTCAGTGACTAAATATTCGAAAGTAGTTCATCACTCTTTCTTCCTAATCTTTCTTTATCTGTAAACTCATCTGAACCCGTCCACCATGGGTGACGCTGTTGGCATTTAAAATACCGGTGGCATAGCTTCCAGAATGACAGCAACTCACAAGCCACCACAGTACAACAAACTGACAGACGAGTGGTGGCTGTTTGGTTGTAAGTGGAAACTGTCACTTTAAATTTTGAGGAGATCCGTGCACATGTGTAGTAGAACCCTCCAGGGGTGGGGGTGGGGTGCGTATTCACTCAGGCATCCCCTCTAGTCACCAGAATGGAGGCGCGCAGACAGTGAGAGACAAATGAACAGATACCAAAAACAGATACCAGACCTTCTAGGAGTCACTAAAGGCTATAACCATTTAAGTGCTTGATGACCAGTCTAAAGGTGGGCCGTTCGAAGCCACCCAGAAGTGCTTTGGAAGAAAGGTCACAGCCTTGAAAACCCTTTGGAACACGGTTGTACACTGCACACAGAACTGACTTGTTGGCAACTGGTAATGGTGGGTCACTTCAGTCAACACAGCTTTCGGTGTACTGGTGAACTGCTCTGAGTGTCTGAGAACCCTGTATGGTTCTTGCCATCACTGTGGACCAGGGTTCTCACCAATAGCACTCTGGACATTTTGTGCCGGGTCAGTCTTTGTGTGGATCTGTCCCATACTCTGGGAAGTGTAGCAGCATCCCTGGCCTCTACTCATTAGATGCAAATAGCATCTTCCAACCATTTGTAATCGATAACAAGACCTTGTTAAATGTCCCATGAGGGAAAATCACCTCTCTCCCCATGTTGATGTCAACTGTTGAAACTAAAGCAGTCAGCGAGTACAGAGCTAGTTCCTGGGTTCAGAACTGGAAGAAAACACTTCTCTGCCCCCAAGTAGTTTTCTCTGCCAATGTGGTGCAGTAGGTTAAGCATGGGATTGCTAACTGCAAGGTCGCTGGTTTGACCTCACCAGCTGCTCCGCAGGAGAAATTTGAGGCAATCTGCTCCCATAAAGATTGACAGCCTCAGAAACCCTAGGGAGCAGTTCTACTCTGTCCTATAGGCTTGCTGTGAGTCAGAATCAATTTGACAGCAGTGGGGTTTTGCTTTTTTTCGTTTTCAAAAAGTTTTTTTTATTTATTGTGAATAATGTGATAGTTTACATGGGAGAATATTAGCTTTACATTCATCCTATCATGTTTCGTTTCATTGCAATGATTACAATCCCCTCCACGCATCATCAAACAACCAAAGGGTATACCCTGCAAGCCTGCCCTCTGGTCATCAGCACACAGCCCCTCTCCCTGTCTGGGTCTAGAGTCCACAGCTGCTCCATCTGTCCATGTCATCATCTCTGCCTCAATTTCTGGCATCACTGCTTCTCTGGGTAGGGTCCTATGCTCCACTATTCTCCCTTGATGGCCCCAAGGACCTCTGTTCCTGGACTGCAAAATCAATCACTCCCCTCCTTTTGTTACAAAACCATCTACCTTTATATTTCCCACCC